AATAAGATCGAAATAAAGCAACAACGTTCTAATCAGATTATCTACAGTCCGTCGTAAATAACTCTGTGGCTGACCAATAAACAATCGTTTAATCTACACAGGTTTTGTGTTGTTATGTGCGATGTGCGGCAGTGCACATTGGCACCTCTATATAATTGACTCTGGACCAGAAAATCCAGTGATCAACATCATGAGCATCGATTTACGCATTTGGGATACGATGAGATGTGGCACCAAGCCTGACCACCCGATCCCGTTAGTCGCCTCTTAGGACAAGCTTTGGTTACTGAAGACCAACTGACTGGTATAACGATGAATGCAGCTGCAGAATCTCACCTGAGGCTCTTTAGTTAGGATATATGTGATTGAGTGAGTACGGTTTTACGCCGCTTTTAGCAATATTCCAGCAACATCAGGGCGGGGGACATAAATGGGCGTCACACATTGTGCCCATGTGGGGAATCGAACCCGGGCCTTGGTCGTGACGAGCGAAGGCCTTAACCAGTAGGCTACCCCACTGCCCCTGAAATATATGAACTCTAGGCGATTACAGTTTAAAAGTTTTTTATTTGTTGTGGACGAGTGTTTATGGCACTATAATGGAGAAACAGTGTTGTCATTCTCGGTTTTTCTGAACACAATTCTTGTGTCCTTTCCTCTGAAAAGTAAGCTTTTACTATTCGCAAACGCCAATATTAAGATAAAACAGGGCCCGCCAATCTTTCACACAAGGCAGCATCGGAGCGTAGAGAACCGGGTTAGAATTGGCAACCAATGTTTGCTGTAGGAGGTGACTAAGGGGATCGAGTGGTCATGTCATCGTATCCCAATTGCGCAGATCGATGCTCATGCTGTTGATTACTGGATTATCTTGTGCAGACTCGATGATTTACAGAACGCCGCCATATAGCTGGAATATTGCCGAGTGCGACGTGAAACAAACAGACAGCCAGCCAGCCAACTGAAGACCAGATGGCTACTGCAGGATCGCTTTGAGAACTAGATAAAGTTAGCCACGACGGTCAATAATTTCAATATCAGACAAACATGAGGAGCGGTGTATGTATATAGCGAGGTGGATATAACTTAGACTGACTGACTGAGTTTGGCGGGGGACACCAGAAATGGGCTTTACACATTGTACCCATGTGGGGATTCGAACCCGTGTCTTCGGCGTGACGAGCCAACGCTTTAACCACTAGGCTACCCCACATCCCCAATATAACTTAGAACTTGTTGAACCTTTTCTCAAACAAATCTGCGATTGATTCATGTCACCTGTTTGTGTGGCATGCTGCTGTGGTCGGCGGACGGCGCCCCCTGATTCTTACATCACGAACAAGACAAACATACGTCATTTTGGTCTCTAAGACAACCAGTTAGAGAAACCGAGCTGCGAATTGGGCTGTTTAATGATGTTGACATCTTTCCTCGTCCCCTCCGGTTTTAATCCATGTGATTTCCATAGCTGTCATTAAAGACGAAGGTTACTTGTTATAAAATAAGTATGAAAAAAGGTTGTTTAATAAGTTGAGTCTCTCGGGGGGAAATATTAATCAATTTAATATATGTAAACACTATGGCGAGACTGACCACGCCACTTTTAGCAGTAATCCAGCTAAATGACTGCGGGAAACACAAGAAATCGAACCCAGCGTGTTCGGCAAGATGAGCGAACGTTTTAACCTTTTTGCTACCAAACTGTCCCAAAATGACGAGGATGAGTTGTGTGATTCTTTCACTTTTGAAAAACATCCTCCATTAACAATAGCTAAGCCTATGAGATGAGATGCATCTCCAACGAGACACATGAACAGGCCCAGAGATCATTTGCAGCCTAATGAGTGTTATTTGTCATCGGAATGACAGACAGGCAGACCTGGTACTTAGATTACAAGATTTACTTGCAGAAGGACATGTGTATGTTCGATTGATGTATTGTTTTGGCTGTGAAGCCTTGAGATGTGGCCACTGGGAGTGCTCTGTGATGTTTAACTGATACTAACTGGACTCATTGCGTCATCCATCATATCAAATGTAGCAGAATACATCATACCATGCGACGAACGAGACCGTCGATCATCATTGTCTTCTCAACAACATTCAGGTTGCTTTAAATATGAAAATTTATATACGCAGCGGGATAAATGTGCCTATTAATTACATCCTGACTAGTTATTAATTTTTTACAACTTGGCTAATTTGTAACTTATATGCACTGTTGTCGTTTTTATACAGTAAACTCTGGCTATCATGGTTGTCACGAACAAACCTTCCAGAACAGACATCCACTTATTGAAATTGCCAGGACTTGACGTCACCGCCAGCATTTTTCAAAAGAACTGTTCCAATTATCTTACCGATGCTTGTGCCAAAAAGTCGATCTGGCAAATAACGTGCTTTGATCAGCGGAATAATTAGTGTTTGTTTGTTGTTAAACGTCTACTAAAAACCCCTCGTCCTCGTCGCGGGAGATGGAAACAGGTAAAGCTGGTGGAGCAATATGGCCTAATCCCCCCTGTATTGCGGATCAAAGCGGATTACAGAAACACAGACAGTAAACTAAGTACTATCAGGAACTCGATGTCAAGGAATACAACTGGATATATGAGGCCGTTTGGTCAAACCCGCAAGGAAGCCAGACTCCCGAAACTCCTTTCAACTCGAGAACCAACCCGATTGGGCACGTGGAATGCCCGCACTATGTATGAAGAGGGGAGGTGTGCTAACACTGCCAAAGAAATGTGCAACTACAAGTTAGAAATACTTGGACTCAGTGAGACCAGATGAAACCAAGCAGGACAAACACGTCTTACCACAGGACAGACGCTAGTGTACTCAGACCACACTGATAACAACGCCCATCACACCAGGGGAGTGGCCATCATGATGACAGCCAAGGCAACCAGAGCTCTAGTAGGTTGGGAACCAGTAAGCGAGAGACTGATAACGGCAAAGTTAAGGACAACACACAAGAGAATATTCCTCACAGTCATTGGCTTCTATGCGCCAACAAACGACGCAGAAGAAGAGACGAAGGAAGAATTCTATGAAAGGTTACAAGCCATACTCAAGAAAAGAACAGAGAGGGAGATTGTCCTTCAACTTGGAGACCAAAGTAGGAAGAGATAACATCGGATACACAGCCATCATGGGAAAGCATGGAACCGGAATAATGCACGAAAATGGACAATATCTAGCAAACTTTTGCGCGGACCGGAATCTCGTAATTGGAGGAACCCTCTTCCCACACAAGGCGACATGGGTATCACCAAACCAGGCTGCCCAAAACCAGATCGACCACATCTGCATCAGTGCCAAGTTTAGAGGATCATTATTGGATGTGAGGTCAAGAAGAGGGGCAGACGTAGCCTCAGATCATCACCTGGTCGTGGGAAAACTCCAACTCAACCTGAGACAGATCACAGACAAAAAACACCCGAGCAAAGTATAATGTAGAAGGCCTGAAGGAAAAAGAGAACATGAAGATGTATCAACATCATCTCGAAGTTTCTTGAACTCAGGACTGAACAGGGTCACTCGGTAGAAGGCATCTGGGGCAATGTGAAAAGGGCCTGTGTAACATCTCTTGAAGAATGTACTGGCAGAGAAAAGAGAAAGAACAAACCCTGGATAACACTGGCAACACTCGATAAAATGAGAGAAAGGCAATCCATGAAAGACTTCTAGGTGCCCGCACAAGATCAAAGACTGTCAGGTCCCAGCAAGAGTACAAGGAAAAGTACAAACAGGTCAGGCAAATGGTGAGAAAAGACAAAACAAGGTACATGGATGATCTAGCAACAGATGCAGAAACTACTGCTGAAAAACGCAACATGAAGGAACTGTATAAGATCACACGGTTGCTTCCAGGCAAGAGAGCTCCACCTGAGAAGCCAGTGAAGGACAAGAACGGAAACGTAATAGGGTCAGCAGAAGAACAAAAAAGCAGATGGAAAGAGCATTTTGAAGATTTGCTTAACAGGCCAACACCAGGCATTACTGCAGATATACCACCAGCAGAAGAAGACTTCCCTATGAACCTTGATCCACCATCTAAAGAGAGAGGAGATACGGAGATCTATCAAGTCCTTTAAGAACGGGAAATCAGGTGGCCCAGATTCCATACCAGCGGAAGCAATGAAATCAGCCCTGGAAAGGTCAGTAACCATGCTCCAGCCCTCGTTTCTAAAAGTCTGGAAAGAACAGTCTTTCAACACAAGGGAAAGTCTTCAACAGAATGAAGACCTCGGTTGATAAACTGCTCAGGGGCCAGCAAGCAGGTTTCAGAAAGGACAGGTCTTGCCCGGATCAAATAGCCACACTCCGGATAATAATAGAGCAATCCTTGGAATGGAAGACGCCCTTGTATGTCAACTTCATTGACTTTGAGAAAGCCTTCGATAGTAAGATCATGAAGCACTATGGACCCAGACACATCTCCATTATACGATCTACATAAGGAAGACATGCATATTGCACTGGAGATGTAACAGAGAAGTTCCCAGTTCACACAGGTGTCCGACAAGGACTGGGTGGTGAAGGGAACAACAAGAGGGAGAAGAAACGGCATCCAATGGACAAGTAACTCGACGATCTTGATTTTGCCGATGACCTGGCTCTTCTTTCCCATAGACTCCAGTGCATGCAGGAAAAGACTACAGCATTGGAAACAACAGCTGCCAAGATAGGTCTCAAAGGCAACCTAGAGAAGACCAAGGTCATGCGGATCAATGCCAAAAGTGAAGAGCCAATCAGGCTGACTGATGGAGATCTGGAGAATGTGGAAGAAATCTAGGAAGTGTAGCGGGAACAACTGGTGGCACAGATCAAGACATCAAAGAATAATCAAAGCAAGAACCGCCTTCAACCTGCTAAGAAGAGTATGGAATGCCAAGAACATCAAGATGAGGACGAAAATGCAAATCTTCAAATCCAACGTGAAAGCTGTGTTGTTTTACGAAGCTGAAACGTAGCGCACAACAGTCTCGTCGGAAAAGATGATCCAGTCCTTCATCAACAAGTCACTGCGCAAGATCCTCAGAATCTGGTTGCCAGAGAAGATCAGCAACCAAGAACTTTGGCAAAGAACACAACAGCTACCACCTCCCGTGCAAGTCATCAATAGAAAATGGACATGGATTGGGCACACCTTACGAAAAGATCCAGAAAACAACACCCGAGAAGCTCTACAGTGGAACCCACAAGGCAAGCGAGCGAGGGGACGTCCCAGAAACTCATGGCGAAGATCAACCATGGAAGAGATTACTAAAGCTGGTTACTCCTGGAGCACCATTGTACAACACACCCAGAACCGGGTCAGATGGCGGTCGATAGTCTGTGGCCTATGCTCTACCAAGAGCGAGAAGGCATAAGTCAAGTCAAGTTGTTGTTAAACACAAGACTCAGCATTATTCCAGCCTTATAGCAGTCGTCTGTAAATAATCGAGCCTGGACCAGACAATCCAGTATCAGAATCAAACCCGGGGCCTCGGCATAACGAGCTAACGCCCTAACCACAACCGCCACAATAACACAGACATACGACACTTATGCTTGTTTTGTCATAGAAATATTAGATATCAACAGTAAACAACACACTACAAATAAAGACAAGACAACATAAATATTTAATGTCAAAAATGTAAATAAAAGCGACAAAACCATATCCATAATCTTAAGCAATCTCTGCCTAAAGCTCGGTCCACTACGATTCCGGCTATATCATGGCCACGTGTTTGTGAACCAGTAGCAATTAGTGAAGACAGCAGGTGTTCACCAAAAGGTGAGCCTATCCTGCCCTACTGGTAGCACAGGTCACAAACACATACAAAGGCAAGGCAACTAGTCACCAGAAGAAACATAACGTACAAGGCAAAATAGAGCCTTGTTTGGACATCAGATTCGTGACTGGTGCTTCAAATTTAACCACATTGGGATATATAACTACTTGACGAAGCTACCATAACATATGGTGTCAAGCAAAGCGCTGTAGGAAACGTTTGAAATAAAACCTGTTACCCAGAAGTATAATGTTATGAGTAAGTTTAATTGTACGCCGGTTTTAGCAATATCCCAGCAATATCACGATGGGAGACTTCAGAAATGGGCTTCGCACTTTGTACCCATGTGGGGAATCGAACCTGTGTCTTTGGCGTGACGAGCGAACACTCTAACAACTAGGCTACCCCACCGCCACCATTATGTTATAAAGAGTCTTTAGATTGTGTACCTCTTTCTCTTCTCAGGAAAAGCAAACATCGTTACAACGTCGCCATCGGCGTCAAACTACGAATAGCATACACTTGTTCCGGAGGCACAGCTCGTTTCCTCAGACAAACGCGTGGCAGCGGAATCTTCAGCGTTACTATTAAGGGCAGATTCATTACCGCGGACTCCAGAGATAATGGTAGTTCGCCGTGACCTGCCTGTGTTTCATCAGTGTTTCCGAACACCATTATCAATCAGCGTTATACATAAAGAGACAGAGGCAATAGTGTGTGATTCCGGATTATAGTGCGAGTGGCTTAATGGGTGGTTCTTCTCATCTGAAGGCACGCTATTTGTTTAAGTAGCTTCATCTCGAAACGTGTTGTGAAACATGTATGTTGGGTCTTTCAAATAAAGGAACGTGTACTAAAAGATTGAAATATATGTGCTGTTTGTCGAATCTCCAAATCATTAGTTATAATGATAGGCCCGTAGGACGGAGTGGGAAGCAGAAGGGCCTAAAACAGGAAAGTAATAAGTGCTTGCTTGCGTGCGTTGGTGCGTGCGTGCGTTTTTTCATGCTCATCAAAGGCGCCAATACAAAATCTTCCTGACTCTTTATAAAATCATGTACATACAATATAATTGATTCTCGTCTGGGTTTAGCAGCAAATTACCTTGTATGACTTTTGGCCAGTGAGAGGTGGAGTCGTGAAATGATTGTTTATAATTTGTGGGCACCCCACGCCCTTCGGGTCTGAATATTCACTGAGTTCCCATACTGAAGCTTGTTGCTATCTGTTGGGAGTCGACTTTCCTATCTGTTGGGAGTCAACTTTGCTATCTGTTGGGAGTCGACTTTCCTATCTGTTGGGAGTCAACTTTGCTATCTGTTGGGATTCGACTTTCCTATCTGTTGGGAGTCAACTTTGCTATCTGTTGGGAGTCGACTTTCCTATCTGTTGGGAGTCAACTTTGCTATCTGTTAGGAGTCGACTTTCCTATCTGTTGGGAGTCAACTTTGCTATCTGTTGGGAGTCGACTTTGCTATCTGTTGGGAGTCCACTTTGCTATCTGTTGGGAGTCAACTTTGCTATCTGTTGGGATTTGACTTTCCTATCTGTTTGGAGTCAACTTTGCTATCTGTTGGGAGTCGACTTTGCTATCTGTTGGGAGTCGACTTTCCTTTCTGTTGGGAGTCAACTTTGCTATCTGTTGGGAGTCAACTTTCCTATCTGTTGGGAGTCAACTTTGCTATCTGTTGGGAGTCGACTTTCCTATCTGTTGGGAGTCCACTTTGCTATCTGTTGGGAGTCAACTTTGCTATTTGTTGGGAGTCAACTTTGCTATCTGTTGGGAGTCGACTTTCCTATCTGTTTGGAGTCAACCTTGCTATCTGTTGGGAGTCAACCTTGCTATCTGTTGGGAGTCGACTTAGCTTTTAGAGTAAGAAATATATGCCATAGTTGTTATAGTGAGTATTCGCGTTATAACGGAGGCAGTAAATAAACTGACGTACAGAAGAAACTACACATGGTGCTTTGGGAATATTTTCCAGAAAACAACGTAAATATTTACAGTGTTTTACAAGTCGCAAACATTGTGTACGTGCCAAAATACCACAGATATCGTTGTGATGTTGTCCGCGCTTCACCTCCCTTGCACAGCGTAGATGATTCAGTCTATGTCGACAAGTTCATGACATGTCCCGAAATGGTCGATATGTCCAGATGCCGACTCCACCGTCTTCTCGTCACCGTGGTCAAGATTTGTGCGTTGACCCAACGCTGTTGATGCTGTTGAACTCACTGTGAGCATCCGCTTTCGCAGCTGATGGATGCGCAGGTGATGGTCATCTTGCGGGGGTGGTCACTCTTGGTCCCGGACTTCCGGGACAGTCAGATGTCTGGCCAGCCTGGTTGATGGTCTGCCTTGGACAGCCGAACATTCTGGCAATATGGCGGTTCGAAGCCCCCATCTGTGACATTCCAGTGACGTGTCATCGCTCTCTAAAGGTCACATGCAATGTAAAACACAACTTTGCAGATTCTGATACCTTTCGGTATGGACTTACCGAAACAAATCGTCAAAAATGCAAATTCAACTTATAAAGTTGAAAAATAACGCGATGAAAAAAAACGCGCGAAATCGGAGTTCAAACGTTTCACTAATTTTCCCCCGACTTTTCGGGGGGAAAACTGGTTTCAACAGCTGGGCTGCGCTCATAGCACGTGCGCAGTGAAATAGGTTCGCGCAGCTTGGAAGCGGGTTGTCCGGTGAATACTCGGTGAAGGCTTTGGTGTGAGCTATTTTTCTAATGTTTTGTTGATATCTCACAGGCGCGAGCTTTTTATATTTTATGACAGTAAATTAACTGTTTATATAATTTCATTTGTCTATTTCACCACACGTTCTTCTTACCGAGTCACTTTCTCAGTTCGATACTTGAAAGCAATGTCATTATTTAGCGTTGACAGAATTTCTAACTGTGATATAGATATGTCGTTGTCACAGACAAAACTCAATGTATTGTTTTATTGACACCTGTGTGTCTGCCTGCCTGTCTGCTAATGACAATATTCAATACACAGCTGCTATCACTGACCACATGCAATTTGAACTACACCAATCAAGCTATACACCATAATTCTGTCCTCTTGATAAAACCGATGAGGTCTTACTTGGGTTGAGTAAATTTTGGAGGCCGAAATCAGCAATATGACAGCAATCATCAAATCTGGACCAGACAATTCAACTATAGACTGAAGTGGAAACAGGAGGCAGTTTTCTTGGCTTCCGGTCTACTGTCACGTGCGTGTAATGGCGGCGAGGAGGGAGGGGACTATAGAAGGTATATATCGCTTCAGGTACATACAAATCTTGATTCCTTGTACTGAAAGGATTCTAAAATTCCGGCAAAAATACATCTGCTTCTAGTTATGGAATGAATGTGTCTAAAACTGCAAGTGGGCGATGTTGATTCCCCAAAGCCGTTTCAAGCACCGTTTCGAATCCCTCTGATTATGATCGTGGTCCAGCAAGGCGACATCGTGATGTAAGTGAAATACAGTCCACTTGAGCAACCAGGAATCTAGATCCCGTTCCACTAGGTGATCTCAGCACTGGCATTACCGCTAGCCTATGTTAAAGTATGGGAGCTGTTATCATAATGATGCTAAGGTCGCCTTCAAAACTGGACCCTGGTCCTCGTTCAAGTCACCCGTGAAGGTCCGGGTTAGAATGAGCCTTCAGTAACCCATGCTTGTCGTAAGAGGCGACTAACGGGATCGGGTGGTCAGGCTCGCTGCCTTGGTTGACACATGTCATCGGTTCCCAATGGCGCAGATCGATGCTCATGCTGTTAATCACTGGACTGTCTGGTCCAGACTCGATTATTTCCAGACCACCGCCATATACCTGGACTATTGCTGAGTGCGGCGTAAAACTAAACTCACTCACTCGTTCAAGTCGGTTCTCAAAAGAACTGTATTGAAACTTATGGCGAATGGATACAACACGTGGCTCCAACGTGGACATATTGTTATAGGGCAAACCATTTCAACAAGTTAGAAGTTCATTCATGGCAAATACCTAATTGTTTCAATATGTGTCAAGTGCACTGAAGCGCTATCTCCCTTGTCTGTGTGCTATATTCACTTGTGGGGCGGTGGGGTAGCCTGATGGTTAAAGCGTTCGCTCGTCACGCCGAAGACCCGGGTTCGATTCCCCGCATTGGTACACTGTGTGAAGCCCATTTCTGGTGTCCCCCGCCGTGATAGTGCTGAAATATTGCTAAAAGCGGCGCAAAACCATACTCACTTACTATATTCACTTGTACTTTCATGTGTTCCCTTATTCGTTTTCATGAGTCTATATTCAGCAAACACTCGGTGTATCCCCTCTCATCATAAACAGTTGATTACTTGATTGTCTGGTCCAGACTCGATTATTTACAGACTGCCGCCATAGCTGGAATATTGCTGAGTGCGGCGTCAAACAACAAACAAGCAAACTCATTATAAACCCTTAAGTCCCAGCGCTGTCTATCAATGTCATTTAACACGGCATTACGCCGCCGGATGTGACGTGTGTTCATGTACGTGGGGAACCATAACGTGTCTGTAATCGCCAGTAATAGTCGAGCGGCTATACAGATAAATTGTGTATTTAGCATAAAGCTTTGCATATTCATTGACTGATGCATAGTGAACATTTTAAGATATAGAGGTACTCAAAAATAATATCATTTTGCGCATGCGCAGAATGTCTTGTTTTGGGGGAGGTCTGTAAATAATCGACTCTGGTCCAGACAATCAAGTGATCGACAGCATGAGCATCGATCTACGCAGTTGGGATACGATGACATATGCCAACCAAGTCAGCGAGCATAACCATCCGATCCTGTTGTTTAACCCAAATCTTCATGGGTCTAATATTTGACATCATTCCCCACACACCTTCGAGTTACAGAAACGAGTCTTCACACATATACCCATGGCAAACCTAGTGGAAAGTTACACTCAACATAAAGAAAAGTGCTGTAAGAGCGTGTTCATTGCTGTGGAGTGCTTGAAGAATGTCAGCGACAGATGACCACCCGATCCCATTAGTCGCCTCTTACAAGTATGGATTCCACAAGACCAATACAAACTCGTATCTTTACGGGCGTCTGCAGAAGGTAAATACTACTTTGCCTTTTCTCGCTACTGATTTAGCTTTGGAAAGGCCACCAATGCATTACAATGACATTTTAGCAAAATTAATAATTACCCACATATTCTGGTTAAATGTCATGAAAATAAAGGAGAGTCAGTTTTATGAACATTGGCCCTCACACCAACACAGTCCAGTGCATTTAAATGAGGACTGTTTGCACTTGTATATGTTGTTGCACCCCTTTCTGCAGCCCCAAGAGACCACCACCTGACAAGACGTTGATGCTTGGTGAAGATTCGTCCATTAGGGAACATATTTACCACTTTCCTGCTGTATCCAGAGTTCAGGATGTGGATGAAGTGACTTACCCCATATATGTCCTGCCTGGTACGCTGATTATTTTTATACATGCGGTACAAGAGCTGCATGCGTTGTTGGGATGGCATGTTTGGGCGTTACTGCAAGGTCTACAACATCTGCAGCTACTGTTCGTACCATGATCTTTTCATGGCCATGTTTTGCAGCATGAGCAACATGAAGTATGACGGCGGTTTTGGTTTCTTGATGACTGCAAGGGGCAAGTGAAAGCATATTCGTCAAATGTTTTGACAGTACCAGGTTTCAAGTTTTAAACAGTGACAGTTCCGTCAATAATTGATGTGGTAACAGTTCGCACCTCTGATATTGCAGTAACATGCCAACAGGTCACGATTTGTACCAGTGCGAAAACACCCTTTGGTCTGATAAGGATGGTGCCTGCTTTTCATGCTGATCAGAGTCATCTAAATTTGCCACGTGACTGACACCTAATGTACACTCTGAAAAACATTCTACGTCACTCTTCATTGTTTCCAGCTCTTCTTTGCCCCTTTTTATGGCCTTTTTTCAATCAAAGTTAAAATAATACGTAAAAGACACATAATGTTAGTCGGCGTTGTTCTTTCCTTTATGAAGGTCTCAAACTGCTCTTTTCCTACGGGTCCCTTTTTCCCACGATGCGATGGTCCCGAGCAAAGTGGAGTTTATATTTCAAAATTGCAGTATGTGCGCTACGATTTCCTGAAATGATTTAAGAGACGGCAGTACTAAAAAGTAACCTTTTTGACGTTATGAAAATACATGATGGCAAGCTATTGGCTTGCATGATGCAGGAGTGTCCTGTTTTAACATTGGTGCTTTAAAAAATAACCACATGGCTGTTAGTCCAGTGAAGGGGAATCTTGTGGCCTACGAACTACCACGTGGCCACCGGGGAAGTAAAGTGTCGCCAATGTCCTGGCAGACTGATGAACACCAAGGACCATGATGATCGGTTCTAATTTCTGTCTCACCATGAGTTTTCAATTTCTAATCAAATATTTTATGAACATAAACTTAGTGCATTATCATCAACTTTATGGAAACCAAAACCTCACAACCTAACTGGTATATAAAGGAAACGTATATATACTGAACATCATTGAAAACGCACCACCTGTATTAGTTTGGATTTCCAAGAGCATAAATGAGCAATCGGTGAAAATTTTACATACTTTTGTAGTCCAATGATTGGTAAAGAAAAGAAACAAGAACCAATCCAGCAAAACGGTGAGGTTTTAATTCAGCTGACCATGAAAGAAAGATTGAGACAAATTGGAAAGTCAGTAACGTGTATGACCACCGTTAGCAGCAACACAAGCTGTGCAACGTCTCCTCATTGAACTGATAAGTCTTTGAATAATGTTTTGAGGCAATGCATTCCACTCTTGTTGCAAGGCATTCTCAAGTTCCCCAAGGTTGTTGATCTGTGGGCGACGTGAGAGGCGTTGGCCGATGTAATCCCACAAGTGTTGAATGGGAGACAAATCTGGTGACAATGCAGGCCATGGAAGTAGAGGAATGTTGTTGTTTGCCAGAAACTGTGTTGCAACACATGCAGTGTGCGCTAGAGCATTGTCCTGCTGGAATGTGTGCAGATCTTGATGTTGGTTAAAAAAGGGAACGACGTTGTTCTGAAGAATGGTGTCACGGTAGTAAAGGGCATTCACTCTGCCACGACAAACTACCAGAGCGGTTTTGTGATGATAACAGATTCTTCCCCACACCATAATGCTGCCTCCACCCCACCAATCTGTTTGCACAACACAGTCCTGATGGTAACGTTCTCCCCGTCGACGCCATACCCGTAGACGCCCGTCAGCATTTCGCAAGTGAAAACGTGACTGGTCGGAGACCACAACACCATGCCAACGTCGTAACAACCACAAACGATGCTGTTCAGCCCATCG